GAACCACTTTGCAGAGTGCGGATTCTGACAGTCCCGTGATAAGGAAATGCTTCCATACTTGACAATGACCTGTCAGAATGCTTGTGACTAGGCGCAGATTCTGTCTAGTCATAGTCAAGTATTTGTTTGCTGCAGTGTTGTCAGGATAACTTAAGAGCTCCCTGGCAACTCTGTAGTTTCTTGTTTTATTCCATCTTTTCTTGAATTTTACAAGGGAATGTTCTTTAATTAGGTCTGTCACTACCGATTTTGTCAGGCTAATAGAAGGGCCAGGTCCAAAAAGTATTTGGTTGGCTGATTTCTTTTCTGGTGAATCAGTAAGACGGCTATCTTTCGATGTGGCATGACCTTTGATCCATCTCAAGGTGACCACACTGTTGATGGCTACTTCGGCCGAAGCTTGGTGGCATTCTAGTACTAACCCTGAATAAATTCGTGGTCTGTTCAGGGTGAGTAGTGCTTGTCTGCTATCTGTATAAATGAACATGTTCCTTCCAGTGATATTGTTTCTGGTTATTTCTTTTGTTGCTATGAGAATCCTTGTTAGCTCTGTTTGAACTACACTGGTACTATTGCTCACAGCTCATTTTATGTTTAGGTTTGAGAATCTGAAGTATGTTGAGCCTTGTTTTGTTTTAGAACCGTTGGTGTAAATATGAATCGTACCTGCCACTTCTGGCTCTTCTATTTGTTATAACTTTATATGGCTTATGGAAGATATATCTCGGTTAGATGGAGTCCATGTTCGCTTGAAGCAGTGGGAGCGTATCAAGCGCCTCCTGCCAAAAGTGACGTGTCGCCTCACCAGATCCTACATCAGGTTCTATTCCAACCGTGCGGAGGCGTGTCATTGTCGTCAGAGCAACCTCATTGATGTAAATATCAAGGGGAGTAAGACTAAGAATGACTTCCATCGCTCTGGTCGATGTTGTTTTCATGGCTCCTGTTATGTTGAGACATACTGTCCTTTGAATTTCTTATAGTTTACGGATAGCTGTTAATTTTTGGGCTTGCGATACCCAGACAACTGCACCGTATGTTAGCATAGGTCTTATGATAGCCGTGTAAGTCCGACGACTCTGGGGGAGAAACCCCAGGTGCGCCTCACGGTTCCGCGGCATTGTTTATAAGCAATGTATGCTCTTTTATGTTTTCTAAATGCGAGTTCCAAGTTAACTTGCTGTCAAAAGTGAGACCTAGGTACTTCGCCTCTGTTGCAAAGTTCAGTTTTGTGTTTAGGAGTTCTAGAAGTTTTAATGCCATTTTCATCCTTTTCCTTGTGAATAGGACCATTTCTGTCTTCTTAGGATTTATAGATAGTGAATGGTCCTTGCACCACTGTTCTTTAATTTTTAGAGCAACTTGCCTTCTTTCGTAGAGTATGTTCTCAAAATTTCCTGTTTGCAGAATGACCAGGTCATCTGCATATGCTATTATGTAGTAACTGTCATTATTGAGGCGGCTCATGAGGGTTTTGAGGACAATATTCCACAGTAGAGGTGATAGCACTTCTTCTTGTGGATATCGCCTCGCAACCAAGCCTCTTATATTCACATCTTCTACACTTATATTTACTGCTCGATTTGTGATCATAATATATATCCATCCACTAACCATTTGTGGAACATTTCTGTTGATTAGTGAGTGTATTATCTTTGGAAAGGTGGTTTTATCAAAAGCACCTTCTATGTCTATGAAAACACCCAAGGCGGACTCCTTATTGTCCAAGAATCTTTCTATCTGGCCAGTAACTAAATGAAGGGCTAAATCAGTAGATCTGCCTAGGATGTATGCATGTTGGTTTGAGTGTAGTGGTGTTGTAATCAGCGCATCCCTTATGTACCTTTCGCATAGCCTTTCAAATGTCTTAATGGAAAACGATGTCAGACTAATTGGTCGGTATGTTTTTGAGACAGTGTAATCCATCCTTCCAGGTTTGAGTATAAATACCACTTTTACCTCTCTCCATTTTTTGGGGATATACCTCAGAGCCAACGAGGATGATCTGAATATACCCAATAGGTGCGGGGTGAGTTCTTCCAGACCCCACTAAAGTAGGGCTGGATAGATACCGTCAGGTCCTGGCGATTTAAATGGAGAGAAGCTGGATATTGCGCATCTAATTTTTTTATCGTCTACAATATGTTTGGCAGTTTGCCAATCATAGACAGATGGATTGTGTTCTTTCTCTGTCCAGTCGGCCACGTTTGTGATGACCGAATCAGGGAAGTGTGTTGACAGTAGAAGTTTGATGCTATCTTCGAGGTTGGCAGTTTTCGTGCCATCTTCTTTAGCGCAACAATTCTTTGGCGTGGATCTTTTGAAGCCTCGCTGCTTGCGGGAAATCTTTGATTTCTTCGCAATAGGATCCCCATGCATCTCTCTGTTTTTGTCTGACGATTTTTTTTGTATTCTCTGAGGTGATATTTGAAAGTATCCCAGTCCTCTTTGAGTTTTGTGTTTCTTGCCTTATTAAAAGATTTCTAGCTATTTTCCTGAGGTGATCCAACTCGTGACACCACCATGCGGTAGTCGTTTGATCGTGTTGGACCAGCCTCAGGGGACAGGATTTTTTATAGGCATTGTTTATTGTGCTTTGGATAGTATTTGGGTACTTCTCCAAAACATTGTTGTTTGGCCTTTTCGGCCTCCAGCTCTCTCAGAGCCTCTTGGAGAAGGTGGGCATAGATTGCCCTGTCCGTCTTCCTAGGATTCCGAGATAGCGTGGAGGTCGGCATAAATGTGGTGGTCTGACATCGAAATGTTATCAGACACATGCCAGTTTAGAATTGATTTATAGATACCAGTTGTGGATAAAGTGATATCTATTAGTGTTTGACTGCTAGAGTTTAAAAATATTGGTGTAGTACCTTTATTTCAAATACAAGGATTTTTGGTAATTATATAATCTTAAAGTGACTTATCTCTATTACCTATAAAAAAATAATCAAAATGGACTGCATAAACTTTAACTTCTTGTAATAGAAACTAAACGTCTTACATCCTTCTTACAACGTGCACTTAATTATCCTATAGTTAGTTAAACCAATTTCTATTTATATAAGTTAATCTACCCTTTTTTGATATAGATTTTCAATATTAATGTATATTATTGATTTCAAAACCAACAAAGGTTAATTTTCATTTCTTTTCGCAACTGGTAACATCATGAATTTTTTAAAACCAGTTTATTAATGCTCAACATTATGCAACTCGTTGCGTAAAGTAGATCATATTGACACTTACTGTTATTACAAAAAATTATTTGCAACTTTAATAACCACCATTTTTATTTTTTGCATTTCTCAAAAATATATTCTTTTCGAATGCATTATTATAACTATTAAAAACTAAATTTTACCAACAATAAATTAATATTGTTATTATATTGCTGCGACTTTAAAAATTCTACCTAACATTTAGGTAACAAGTTTCTAATTTTTAGCGATGATTATGGAAATTAATACTGGAAAAACATCTTCTGCGCATAAATATGATGCAATGGAAAGACAACTCAAAGAATACATGCGGCATAAGCAACTTCCATCGCAAATGAGAAGCAGAATTTTAACCTACTACAAGTTTAAATTTCAAAAAAGATATTTTCGAGAAAGCGAAATTCTCGCGACGATTTCTGAACAACTCAGACAAGTAATTATTATTATTAAATTTTGTCGTCTGACGAATATCTTTAACCTTCTTGAAAATAGTCAAACATTTTGGTTCATTTATTTTAGGAAATGAACATGCATGCTTGTAAGAAATTAGTGGAAAACGTAATTTTTTTTCGAAACCTTCCATTAAATCTCTTGGTAAGGATAATTTCCTGTTTAAGGATAGAAGTTTTTCTTGTAAATGATGTCATAATTAGAGCTAATACACCAGGGGCTAGTATGTATTTTATTTCGACTGGAACTGTTGCAATATATACGAAATCTGGAAAAGAAGTAAGTTTACAATATTTTAAAAATATATCGTCGTTTTTGTATTATTTTTCGTCTTTTTTTTTCTTATATTTTTTCGCGTTTGTAGGTTTGTCATTTAGAAGACGGGGCTCATTTTGGAGAAATAGCCCTTTTAATTAAAGATACCTTTCGAATCGCTTCAGTGATCGCAGTGGAAGTTTCGGAAATTTATAGATTAGACCAAAAAGATTTTGTTAAGGCAATTAACCCATATCCGGATTTACTAGCTAACATACAGCACATAGCAGAAGAAAGGATGGAAGTTTCTACGATGTTAGACGAATATAATAGAAGAGAAATTGCAACAATGGGATTAAGCGCGTCAAATGTTTAAATTTAAGTTACACCAATATTAAATAGTTAATAAATTTTTTTTCCTAATCAGCGTGTTAAGAACTTATTTTTTTTCCTGAATATTTGATGAATTAAATTTTCAAACTACTTGAAGTCTTGATGGTACATAATAATTTGAAGAAGTCAAAATTAATGAAAAATATTGTACATATTTTAATAACTGTTTGTGTTTCACAGTTTATTATCTAACATTATTTGTAGTTCTCCATTTTCTTTTAGCACCTCTCCTTTCAATCTTGTTCTTGGCTCCCTTTTTTATTTTTGATATCTAGTATAGAAGAAATAAATAATAATAATAATAATAATAATAATAATAATAATAATAATAATAAAAATAAAAATGTCAGGTCAGTCGGATCAGGCAAGAAGCATGAATCTGACTGCTACGGTATGCTGGGCGAGCCGTGCTATCCTGTAGCCACACCCCGATGAGAAGCGGGCCCAAAGAGCGACTACCTCTCACACCCTCTCTACCTGGGATAATGGCATACCATCTCTAGGGGCTAGCATCCCCTTTGGACGTAAAGTTTTCAATACGCTGTAAGCACTAGAGCAAAACAATACACGGGCGGGTCAGAGCTTCAGGTTGGCTTTGTTCGGAACCGTCAGGAGGATCAACCTGACTTGCAGATAGGTGAGGCAAGTGGCGCACTTGCAAGGAACGGAACCATAAGACAGCCTATGATATCGGCTATAGGAAGTAATGATCCTCAAAAAGCGAGATTAGCACGTCAAGAAGATGTTGCTTCTCCGGAGGATCAAGATAGTAGACAAACTCGCAAAAGGAAATGGCCCAAAAAGGATAACGTGGACATTATGCGAGCATACTTTATTGGCACAAAGTGTGAATTGAGCAAGCAAGTTTTTCGCAAGAAGACCTTAATAGAATGGAGACGACTCAGACCAGACTTGAATTTAACAGAGTCGCAACTAGCCAACCAGTTATATGCCATCAGAACGCACAATTTACTAACGGTACTAGAAATTGCAATGGTTAAAGAAGAAAAACGGCAAACTACTAACAGAGACATTCAGAACGGCACGGGTAAAAACTGAAATTTTAATTAATCTTAAAAAATTCTTAGTTATGTACCAAGGAACAGACCCGAAGAGAAGTGATAAACTCTCGAAAATCAGACCAAACCGAAAAACTAATGAAGGAATCGACATCATCAATAAAAAAATAATAAATTTACTCCATTTCAAAAACGCAGTGCCTGATCTACTGCGGAGCGCTAACGGTAATACAATCCATGGGTATAAAGATACAAAAACAAACATTAAGAACAAACCCGAAAGAGCCTAGATGAAAAATAAGATTGGAAACAAATATTAAACAAATAAAAAGTTAATTAACAAAAATATGCGCTTGGGAGAAAGGTAATCTAAGTGGAAACTTAAGAAAAGATGTAAGAAAGATCCTAACAGATAAAAACATTAAAGGGGGTGACAAAAATTACAACGAAAAGTTAGCAGTTTTATAAGATGAATTTAAGCAAAGAATAGCGTTACTGGGAAAAAGATTAAAACGATATAACAAAAGCTAAAAAAAAAGGAACAAAATAGGACTTTCTACAAAAAGTGACTGGAACTAATAGAACAAGAAAATGCAGTCCCACCAAGCAATAAAAATCTTAGTGAATTCTGGTCAAATATCTGGAAAGACAAGGGCGAATACAACACAGAAGCTACATGGTTAAAAACCGAAAGAGAAGAATGCCAAGCACTACCAAAAATGAATCCCATCCGAGTTACAGAAGAAAAGCGGTGGCGAAAACTCAAAATTGAAAAGCTGTGGGAATTAATTCAATTCACAACTACTGGTGGAAAAACCTCAATGTGTGGAAACCTCTTGCTGCACAAATAAACCGCATCATCACCAACAAAGAAAAAATGCCTGATTGTTTGACTAAGGGAGTGACGTACATGCTTCCGAAGTCAGACAAGACAGAAGACCCAAAAAATTACCGTCCCATCACTTGTCTTTCCACCCTTTATTAAATAATCACTTCCATAATTGCGGAAAAAATTGACAGTCATTTATTAGAAAACGACATATTGACAAAGGAACAAAAAGGATGCAGAAAGAAAACACAGGGATGCAAAGAACAACTTCTTATCGACTCAGTAGTTACACAAGATGCCAAACATAGATTGCGTAATATCGCAGTAGCATGGATTGATTACCAGGAGGCGTTTGACTCTGTACCACATAGTCAACTACTAGAAGTATTAAAACTCTACAAAATAGACAAAGATATTGTTATATTCCTAAGTGAATGCATGAATTTCTGGCGAACAAATCTTAATCTTTTACTTAAAAACGAAATAATAGAAACAAATGAAATACAGATTCAAAGCGGGGTATTCAAAGGTGAAAAAGGAGAAAAAAGGCTTCTTTATTGATATTACGCACCCGAACGATCATAATCTAGAAAAAGAAGAAAAAGGAAAAAATAATAAATACTTCGAATTGGCAGGAGAATATAAAAGTATACATAAACTAAAAAGTATTACCATAATTCCCATAGTAATTTCAGCTACTGGTCTGGTTTCGAAGAAGTTGGAACAAATAAACATCACTGACAAAAATATCTTCACAACAATGCAAAAGTCAGTATTACTAGAAACTTGTCGTATTGTGAGAAAAACTCTGAAATTACCTGCCTATGAGTAGAAGTCGCACAACTCCCACTTGAAAAAATTTAAAGCCTGATCAACTGACTGATTCCGTAAGAATCCCAATTCATCAACAACCCTGAAAAGGAGAAATAATAATAATAATAATAATAATAATAATAATAATAATAATAATAATAATAATAATAATAATAATAATAATAATAATAATAATAATAATAATAATAATAATAATAATAATAATAATAATAATAATAATAATAATAATAATAATAATAATAATAATAATAATAATAATAATAATAATAATAATAATAATAATAATAATAATAATAATAATAATAATAATAATAATAATAATAATAATAATAATAATAATAATAATAATAATAATAATAATAATAATAATAATAATAATAATAATAATAATAATAATAATAATAATAATAATAATAATAATAATAATAATAATAATAATAATAATAATAATAATAATAATAATAATAATAATAATAATAATAATAATAATAATAATAATAATAATAATAATAATAATAATAATAATAATAATAATAATAATAATAATAATAATAATAATAATAATAATAATAATAATAATAATAATAATAATAATAATAATAATAATAATAATAATAATAATAATAATAATAATAATAATAATAATAATAATAATAATAATAATAATAATAATAATAATAATAATAATAATAATAATAATAATAATAATAATAATAATAATAATAATAATAATAATAATAATAATAATAATAATAATAATAATAATAATAATAATAATAATAATAATAATAATAATAATAATAATAATAATAATAATAATAATAATAATAATAATAATAATAATAATAATAATAATAATAATAATAATAATAATAATAATAATAATAATAATAATAATAATAATAATAATAATAATAATAATAATAATAATAATAATAATAATAATAATAATAATAATAATAATAATAATAATAATAATAATAATAATAATAATAATAATAATAATAATAATAATAATAATAATAATAATAATAATAATAATAATAATAATAATAATAATAATAATAATAATAATAATAATAATAATAATAATAATAATAATAATAATAATAATAATAATAATAATAATAATAATAATAATAATAATAATAATAATAATAATAATAATAATAATAATAATAATAATAATAATAATAATAATAATAATAATAATAATAATAATAATAATAATAATAATAATAATAATAATAATAATAATAATAATAATAATAATAATAATAATAATAATAATAATAATAATAATAATAATAATAATAATAATAATAATAATAATAATAATAATAATAATAATAATAATAATAATAATAATAATAATAATAATAATAATAATAATAATAATAATAATAATAATAATAATAATAATAATAATAATAATAATAATAATAATAATAATAATAGAATAGAATAGAGTTTTATTGACATTCTACATATATACATACGTTTTTGCCTTACAAATGAATAAAACACCATAGATTTAAAATAGAGAGGTTAACATACAAAAAGATAAAATATAGCTAGTTGCGACATAAAATGTTAAAATATAAAAAGTTAAAATATAAAAGTCAAAACATAAAAAGACGATATAAATATAAAAAAGTTAAAACATAAAAAGATTGCATAAATATTAAATCATAATGTTACATTATAAAATTTTTAAAATCATTAACACTATAAAAACAATGTTTTAGTAAAAAGTTTTTTGCCAATTTTTTAAATGAGTTAATGCTCATTGATTTTATAGTGTTGTCATTATGTATGCATATAAATTTATTGTATAGATTAAGGTCTATCTTATTGACCTGGGTTGATCGTATCCTTGAGAACGGTACAATTAGGTTCTGTCCATTCCTTGTGTTATATGAATGAATGTCTGAGTGCGTTTTTAAATTCTTAATGTTTTTGTGAATGAAGACCAGTGATTCTAAGACATAAACACAAGGCAAGGGCAGAATCCTGTACTTATGGAACAGTGGTCCACAATGTGCATCATATGGTACCATATCAATGGTCCTGACAGCAGCCTTCTGTAAATTAAATACCTTGTACGAATTGGGTGCATTTCCCCACAGTAGGATGCCGTATGACATAACACTATGGACCATTGCGTAATACACGGTTGTAATTGTTTTATTATCAAGAGAGGTCCTTAGCTGCCGCATGGCAAATATCTGAGAGGAGAGTCTTCCACATAAGTTGTCAATGTGATTAGACCAGTTTAAACTTGTATCTAGAGTGATACCAAGTAATTTTGCTGGTTCTGATAATAATAATAATAATAATAATAATAATAATAATAATAATAATAATAATAATAATAATAATAATAATAATAATAATAATAATAATAATAATAATAATAATAATAATAATAATAATAATAATAATAATAATAATAATAATAATAATAATAATAATAATAATAATAATAATAATAATAATAATAATAATAATAATAATAATAATAATAATAATAATAATAATAATAATAATAATAATAATAATAATAATAATAATAATAATAATAATAATAATAATAATAATAATAATAATAATAATAATAATAATAATAATAATAATAATAATAATAATAATAATAATAATAATAATAATAATAATAATAATAATAATAATAATAATAATAATACCATACCATACCATACCATACCATACCATACCACACCATTTATTGACCATTATACATACAAGAAATACGTCTTGGGTCACAAAATTTAAAATTACAATTACATGTAGGTATTACAAAGTCAAAAATTTAAAACTATAAAATTATTAACGTTATTGTAACCACAAAATTACATTTACAAAATTAAAACAACAAATAGCTATAAAATTACAATTACAAAATTAAAATAAAATAATGTATACATACAGTTTTAAAATCACAATTTAAAATTAATAAAATTTATCGTTAATATTGTATAAATTCCTCAATAGAGTAAAAACAGTTTTCCAATTAAAAAAAATTTCACTTTCTGTCTAATCCTATTTGTAGGTATATTCTTGAGGTCCTCACTACTATACTCGTATATTTGAACTATTTTGTTATAAAGTCTTACATCGAGTTTATTTTGTTTATTTGTTTGAATCCTAGAAAAATGTGGAACTAATTTATTAGTATTTCTAGTGGGATAATTTTGTACATCCGAGTGGGAAATAAACTTGTCGTGATGTTGATGAATGTAACTAACTACCTCAAGAATATACATACATGGTAAGGGTAAAATTGAATATTTCGCAAATAATGGTTTGCAATGTGCATCCCAATTGGTACTATCTACAATCCTCATGGCTGATTTTTG